AGGGGCCCCAAACCCATACACCCGCCTCCACATCAACCCCAAGGCCCCACAAGGTCAGATCCCAGACTACCCACCCTCACTATGTAACAGAGCCGATCAAAGGAGCCCACAGAGATTGGTCCAATGTGTCGGCAGATGCTGTTTCAAGACTAATATGATCTAACAGAAGATTTTTATACTGATTAATGCTAAGATTATTTTTATTTTTCCAATTCAGGAGTATGGTTTTCTTTGCGATGCATAAGGCTGTGAAAATCATGCGACATGTATTTTTTTCCAGGGTAACATCTTCCAAGATAGCCAATAAGCAAACAGATGGAGAGAGTGGAATATTACATTTCAGACATTTAGACAAGTCTTCACAAACCTGGACCCAGAACCTCTGAACGGGTGGGCAGAACCAGAGTGCATGGATATAATCATCAGGAATATTGCCTGTGCACTGTGAGCAGTTGTTAGATGATGTAAATCCCATCCTAAACATTCGCTGACCTGTATAATGTACTCTATAAAGAACTTTATATTGTATTTCCTGATGCATGCTCAATAATCCAGGTAGAAAAATCTAAAAAAGTTAAATCTGGTCCTCTGGACATTCAAAAAAACACACAAACAGAGCAATGTTGTGTATGCTGTTCAGTGTCAGGAGGGCTGTGATCAGTCTTACATCGGGGAAACAAAACAGCCACTGGCCAAAAGGATGGCCCAGCACAGAAGATCAACATCATCAGGCCAGGACTCTGCGGTCTACACTCATCTCCAGGCCAGAGGTCACTCTTTCAGGGATGAAGATGTTCACATCCTGGACAGAGAGGAACGATGGTTTGAGAGAGGAGTAAAGGAGGCCATCTTTGTGAAAAGAAACCGTCCATCATTAAACAGGGGTGGAGGCCTCCAGGTTCAACTGTCCTCCTCTTACAATGCTGTGATTGCTAGTATCACTCAGCCCTCTGTGAACAGTAAACAGCCATCAGTGTGCTAATGATCCATTGTTAGGCTGATGGTCCTTCTTGAGCATGTGATCAGCTGGTTTTGGTTGTCAGCAGCAAACTGGTTGATCCACTCTGAGAAGGTGCTATTTAAGAGACTGAGCTGAATACAGCACCTCAGACTGAGGAAGTCTCTCGGATGAGAGACGAAACGTTTCTACATTTTTTGTTGATTTGCTTTGTTTTGTTTTTTTGAATGTCCAGAGGACCAGATTTAACTTTTTTAGATTCATACTGTATTAATTGTAAGTTGGAGATTCTAGTCATTTTAAATGTTCTTAAACATATTTGAGACCAGGTGTTTTGGTCAAAATTGATTGATAAATCTGACTCCCATTTTGCAACAGGTAGCATTATGGAGTCATTGATTCTAGACAATTTCTTGTATATATGAGAGAGGAGTAAAGGAGGCCATCTTTGTGAAAAGAAACCGTCCATCATTAAACAGGGGTGGAGCCTCCAGGTTCAACTGTCCCCCTCTTACAATGCTGTGATTGCTAGTATCACTCAACCCTCTGTGAACAGTAAACAGCCATCAGGTGCTAATGATCCATTGTTAGGCTGATGGTCCTTCTTGAGCATGTGAGCAGCTGGTTTTGGTTGTCAGCAGCAAACTGGTTGATCCACTCTGAGAAGTTGCTATTTAAGAGACTGAGCTGACTGAAGAAGTCTTTCGGATGAAAGGCGAAACGTTTCTACTTTTTTCTTTATTGTTGTTTTGCTTTGCTTTGTTTTTTGAATGTCCAGAGGACCATATTTAACTTTTTTTTTAGATTTTTTTTTTTTTACCTGGATTATTGAGCATGCATCAGGATTAAAACAGGAACTGTTTGCAACAATGACAGAGACGCCCAATTATTGGTCTTTATCACTGAGTAACTCTGAAGCTTCAAACTCTTCAAACTCTCAGAACCAAAGGAGACTGATAGAACAAGAACTTTGACTGGGTCACACTGAATGTTTGTTGTAAGAAGATGTTCAACCCATTTGGCTGGCTTGGGTTATGTTGGACTGACTCAGTTGGTTCTTGTACCAACACCTTGTGTCTGTTGTGTCTCAGTCATGGGTCCACAGCTCTGCAGGTCTGTGGTTCAGTTCTGCTCCTCATTCGAGGTTCTTCCCTCCAGTCGAAGGTGTCATGCTCCCCGCAGGAAGCTTCAGCAACAAAGTGGCCTTCATCACAGGAGGCGGAACCGGGCTGGGCCGGGCCATGACCACTGTTCTGTCTCAACTGGGAGCCCATTGCATCATCGCCAGCAGGTCTGAGGTCACATCATGGCATGGACAAACCTAAACCCCTTTCTGCTTATTTATAACTTCCTGTTTGTTTCTGCTTGTCCAACAGAAAGTTGGATGTTCTGCAGCAAACAGCGGAGGAGATCACCAGCCAGACTGGAAACAAGGTGACCATTCACAACGGGACTTAGCACTGTCAGTCTGACCCATTGAGATCTAACAGAACTTTGTGTCTGTGTCTTCAGGTCCAAGCGATCCAGTGTGATGTCCGAGATCCTCAGGCTGTGTCTCGCTGTGTGGACCACATGGTGTCTCTGACGGGACTTCCTGATGTGAGTACAGAGCCCGTTAAACTCTGCTGGATGTTTTGATGATGGTCGTTAATTATGCTCAACATGTTTTGACAAGTAACCTCTGTCAGGGAATCTTTGGTCAAAGGTTACGGATATTTTTATTATTATGGCTGAGAACATTCTTCCCCTCTGCCCTGAGAACAAGAAGGCCAAAACAAGCCGAAACTGTTTTCCAAAACACTATCTTATCTCTGCCCATGAACTATATGTTTGTGCTGTGTAAGTCAAGTCAAATTTATTTATAAAGCACATTTAAAACAGCAAGTAAATCAGATCACACTGTGTTAAACGTCAGTAGCTATGTTTACATGAATCGTTTTTATTCCAAACAGTCGTTTGATCTGATTACTTATGTCCATGTAAACATAGCTATTTTAACATAGGGCAAATGATCAGGAGCTGTTGGGTTTTAAGAGCAGATAAATCTGGCAGTCATTAGCATAACAATGAAATGAAAGGCAAAGAGAGCAAGCAGATAGAATGAAAACAAAAGAGGTCCAAGAATCAAGCCCTGTGGGACCCCACAGAGAGACACTGACTCGGATACACTATTTCCAATTTTAACACAGAAACTCCTGTCACTTAAGCCCCTTTTCCATAGCTCCAATTCAGCATGATTCGGCTGGGTACGGTTCCAAGCCTTTTTCCACAAGTAATTTTTCATAGAACCGGCCCCTTTTTTAGTCCCTTCTGCTCTAGCCGAGACAGCACCAAAACGTGACGTCAGAACACTGTCGGTCACTGATTAGTCAGGGGGTGGAGTCACTGGCTGTTGAGAAACTTTTCACATCAGCAAGATCTGTCATTTGCAATAACTTAAACTCGAGGAGGGATTGGACCTATTTTAAAGATTTTAAAACAATAATGACAACACCGTGGTCTAGAGCTGAAGTGCAGGCGTTTTTTGTGCTTGGTGGCCAATGACAAAATTCAGAGTGAGCTAGATGGAGCTCCGTCAGTCCCCGACTCCCTCCAGTCCTCTCCACCAGAGCCTTGGAGCCCCCTCAGGCTGTGCAAGGCGTCATCTATGTATGTATGTCTATATGTAGGGCTGGGTACCTTTCTAAAAAATCGGTGTCGGTACCTTCACTTCGGTGTCGGTTCCTGGACAGTTATTTTTTCGGTACCATATTTGTTATTAATATTAATTCCAACAAGAATAAAATTACGTTACACATTGCAATACAAATCAAGAGTTTAATTTTTTAACTTTGGTATTTTTCCATTCCAAGCAGTTTTCTTACATAAAAATAAACAATTAATTTCCAGTTCAAAAGACCAGTTACAAACCAGTGACACATCAGTGTCTATTGCTCACTGCTACACACTGAAGACCTTTTCACTTAACAGTTTTTATTCAGAAACATCAACATGTCTGCTTTCTCTGGACACAAACAAGCCCACTCTTGGCTGATGGTGTCTCCAGCTGTAGAAAATGTTCACTCTGAGGGTGTGGATGATGATTGTTGCACACAAGATACCTGGTTGTCAGTTTGATAGCACTGACATATTGTCCCACACATCCCACCAGCAGGTCACTGGATTCACTGAGGTTAGGGTTGATGCAGACTTCTGTACCTCTGTCTCTCTTCCTGAATCTTCTCTGTGGTTCTCTGGAGTTTAGGGCTCTGATCATCTCCCTAATTGACATGAGAACACAAAACATCAACAATAACATGGTTGTGTTATTATTGATCAAAAACCATTATCTAGGCTGAGAGGTAAATATTTAACTGGTCAACAACATCCTTTACAGTTTACTTACCTCCACCATGCAGCCTCCACGTAGAAAAAGCAGCAAACTTTAACAACAAAGTTTGTGACTGTCCTGTGGCCCCCACCTCACTGTTCTTTTGTCTGCCTCTGTCCTCACATCTGGGTCAGAGGCTCCTGTGAGGAGAACATAAACAAACGGTGAACATTAGACAAACTTTTAAAGCAACTGATCCGATGGATGAGCACAGTTTTACAAGCTAAGCTTCATCTGTTACTGTCAATCTTTAGTTAGCTTCTGAGTTTAGCTAGCTACATAGATAAAATAAATTTACACACTTATATCTTAAAGTTAGCGTTACATAGATTCTAGTTTAATTCACCGCGATGTACATGTTAAGCTGCAGTAATGTTAACAAATGTAAACTTACCAGCTGAAACACAGACACAGCTCCATCCTCGGAGTTCTTTGAAGAGGAGTCGGGCCGTGGAGGTGATGAATCAGGCCGTTTAACACTCACAGGCTGACTTTAATGCTGAGAGGAGGAGGGGAGGCTGCTGTCCATCTCTCTTGCAGAAAAACACGGAGCAACTTTCTGCTCGTAAGCAGAAAGTTGCATGTGATGTTGAAGCCGTTCGACAACATACGCGCTGCACACGTGAACCCCGTCTGTGGGTGTAACCAGCCCCATAGACATACAAGCTGTACGGCAGCTCTATACAGCTCTGGGTGTAAACACATAGTCTGTTTGTCATATGTCTGGTGTTTTACCTGCCTACGTGCTGAAACCACGTGACACGTTACAGCCAATACCAAAACTTGACACCGAATAAAGAGTGACGTTTTAATCCATACACCGACCGGTGCAGTTCGGTCGGTGCCATTTAAGAACCTCGGTTTGGTACTCAGCCCTAACTATATGAGCATCTATGTTGAACTCCCCCCTCCCTCCCCTTCTCTGTCTTTTCCCTCCCCTTTGCTGATGACATTGTTGACATGTTCCTGTTTTTAGTTTTCTACATTTGTCTTGGAATCTAGCTGTTTTTTGTTTTGTTACCTTTTCCTTTTAGCCATCCTATTTGTTAAAAAAACAAAACAAAAAAAAAACCCAAACTGTAGTATGCTTTTCTTATAACTGTTTATTGTTGTTGCTGTTGTCCATTGTTGTCATCTTTCTTTGTTGAAATCAGGTCTCTCTTGTAAATGAGTCCTCGAGGCTCAATGGGATTTACCTGTATAAATAAAGATTGATTGATTGTTGACATTATCAGCAAGTCTAAGTCCTCATCCTGTCAGCTTGATCCATTTCCCACAGTTCATGTTAAATCCTGTCTCCTGTCTCTGCTCCCTATCATCACTAACATCATCCACTCCTCCCTAACATCTGGCATTGTTCCCACAGCTTTAAAATCTGCTGCCATCACCCCCATCATCAAGAAACCAGGTCTTGATTTTACCAACTTCAGTAATCTTCGTCCGATCTCTAATCTGCCCTTTATTTCCAAGGTTCTTGAAAAAGTCGTTGCTAGTCAACTTCACTCTCACCTATCCAACAATAACATTTATGAAGAGTTTCAATCTGGTTTTCGCCCCCACCATAGCACCGAAACAGCTCTAATAAAAATAACTAATGATCTTCTTCTTGCTGCTGACTCTGCTCTTCTGTCTATCCTCATTTTACTGGATCTAAGTTCTGGCTTCAACACAATCTGTCATTATATCCTCCTCAACAGACTAACCTCCATTGGCATCTCAGGTACTCTGTTAGATTGGTTCAAATCATATCTTTTTGATCGCACTTAATTCATTCAGCCTAAATCCTTTCGTTCCCAGTCTTCCCCTGTCTCCACGGGTGTCCCCCAAGGCTCTGTCGTCGGAACCCTCCTTTTCATCATTTACCTCCTTCCTTTAGGTCACATTTTCCACAAATTTGGTGTCCATTTCCACTGCTATGCTGATGACACACAGCTGTACTTGTCAACAAAACCAAACTCCACCCATCCACCCTCCATCATCACCACCTGTCTCAATGAGCTAAATCATTGGTTTTCTAACAATTTCCGACAACTAAACAGTGACAAAACAGAAATCATTCTTGTCGGTACCAAAAACTCTATTTCAAAATCAGAACATCTTCTCATCCCCCTTAACAACTCTCTGCTATCCCCCTCGCCTCAGGTCAAGAGTCTTGGTGTCATCCTCGACACCACTCTCTCCTTCACTTCACACATCAACAATGTTACTCGGTCTGCCTATTTCCATCTCCGAAATATTAACTGTCTCCGTCCTTCTCTCACACCCCGCTCCACAGCCATCCTTGTGCACAGTCTTGTGACTTCTCGGATTGACTACTGCAACTCCCTTCTTTATGGCCTCCCCAACAAATCTCTTCAGAAGCTACAAATGGTCCAGAACTCAGCTGTCCATGTCATAATAACTCAAACCTCCTCCTATAACCACATCACTCCTGTCCTGCAGCAGCTCCACTGGCTCCCGGTTAAATCATGCATCGTCTTCAAAATCCTTCTTCTCACTTTCAAGGCTATCCACAACCTTGCCCCTCCATACCTATCTGACCTCCTACACATCTCCATCCCCTCTCGCTCTCTCAGATCCTCCTCTTCACTACACCTCCATGTACCCTCTGCCCGCCTCTCCACCATGGGAAGCAGGGCCTTCACCTGCTCTGCCCCTCATCTCTGGAACTCTCTACCCCCTGACTTACGAAACACCACCTCTCTTTCTCTGTTCAAGACTGCTCTGAAAACACATCTTTTTAGACTCACTTATCCTTAACTTTGATGCATGTATTTTATTTTTTTTATGTATTTTATATTTCAATTTATTCCTGTTGATCTTTGCACTGTGCTTGTTCTTTGTTTTTACACAATCTTTCTGATATGTTTCTCACTGTAAAGTGTCCTTGGGTGTCCTGAAAGGCGCTTTTTAAATAAAAAGATTATTATTGTTATTATTATTATTATTATTAGTAGTAGTAGTAGTAGTAGTAGTAGCAGTAGCAGTAGCAGCAGCAGCAGCAGCAGCAGCAGTAGTAGTAGTATTATCTCCCTGGCTCCAAGCTCCACCGGGCACCGCGCAAAATCCTTTGTGCTGCCTACCCGGATCCCAGGCCTTGCGTGCTCTGCGGGCTCTGAGCTCCACTGGTCACCGTGGAAGATCATACAAGCTGCCAAACAGCAAGCTCATTTAGGCCGGACCCCGACCCCTGGCAGACGGGCAGACCAGGATGGGTCTGTGACGGAGC